TTGAAGGCTACCTCCCAAGACCCATTGCCTCCGGTTTCAGCCCTTTTGAAAGGACACCTAACAGTCTTGAATCTCCCTCCAGCCCCCAAGGAGCTCTCCCACACACACACATACTGGGCCTTGGGCTGTCTCCCAGGGTGGACATGTTGACACTATGCCAAGGCTGGGGAAGGCACAACTAGAAACCAGAGACACCTGCAGGAAGTGCCAGGGACCAGATCGAGGCTTCTAGGGAGGCTCTGTGGGTATAGTAACCCCTATTGCTCTGGGAAAGCCCCAACAAAGATGAGGTCGGAGCAAAACCAGTTCAGAAGCCTGGAATGCCAGGCTCTTCCCATGGAAAGGGATGAGGAAAAGACTCTGAGAGTGACTGTGTGCAGCACTGAATTAACAGAGCGGAGATAGAGGAGGTGTGCAAGCACTTGGGGCAGCAAGTACCCTGTGTATTGAAAAGCCTCTCTGGGTCTCTCAGGGACCCATGCAGACCACCTGCTGGGTGGTGCAGCCGGGTAAAGCAGCATCTGGGGTCAGGTGAACTTGAAAGAAGGGGCAAGGCTGTAAGGAGAACTTAAGACTTACAGTTCCAGAGACTGTAAGAACCAGAAAAGAACACAAGGCAACCAGTACTGATGAAGCCCTACTATGTGCAGACACTTCACTCTCTCTCAGGCATCATTCTGTTTAACTCTCACACTGGTTCCTATGCTAAAAAAGATGAAACTGACGCAGCGGGACTGAGGGCTCCGGATCACTGAGCTATGGCACAGGACTGCAATAAGCTGGCCTGGAAACACGTTCATGACAAGAACTTTGAAAGCCAAGAACAGGACACTGTGGGAAGAACAAGGAGGGACTCTTTCTTTACATAGACTGGTAAGGGACCATCTCCCTGAGGAGGAGTCATCTGAGCTGAGGCCTGAAGAAATCAGCCAAGTGAACAGTGGAAAAATCCATTCCAGTGAAGTGAAACAGCATGTGCAAACGTCCTGAGCCAGAAAAGAATGCGACAGTCTTTCAGTCTCCAAGGAACTGAAAGGAGCCAGTGTGTCTGGGACATTTTGAGAATAAAAAAGGGCCTGCAGAAGACACTAGATCATACAGGCTGTAGCAAGGAGTTCAGATTTCAACCCATGCGCCAGGAGAAGCCAGCAGAGGGATTAAGTGCCAAAATGACAGAGTATGATCTACCCACAGCCTAGCACAGAGTTTGTCACACAAAAGGGGATGAGTCAAAGGTCGTGGAACATCTGAATAAATAGACTTAAACTAGACTTCCAAAGGATGGAAACACTGGTTTTACAAAAGGGAAAGTAAGATTTCAGTTTTTGCCCATGAGAAGAACAATTTTGCCTAATCCAATCCAGAGAGCCACTTTCATGCCTCTCTGCCTAAGAAGCACGCAGAGCAGCTAAAATCCACAGGCACATCATGACAGAATAATTTCAGTGATCACTATCAAATGCCTCTATTTAGAAAAACTCAGAAGATTGTATTGGTACAATCCATTATTTATGAAATGACAATCTGCCATAACGAGGGGCTGAGAAAATTAAGATTAAAAGCAAGTGTTACTCCTTTGGGAAGAGAGATTGGCATGGTGGGAAAAGCAATGTCACTTGGCTTCTTAGAACCTTAGTTTCCTGATCTGTAAAATGGAAGGATTGTAAGAAGGATTAAAAATTCACTGTCAGTCAATAGAGGGCCCAACAGCATTTCAAGATGCTTATCATTCTTCATTTAAAAAACACCTGATAGTGAAGTAAATCAGAGAAAGACAAATACCCTATGATTTCAGTTACACATGGAGTCTAAAAAACAAATGAATAGACAAAAAGCAGAATCAGACCCGTAAGTACAGAGAATGAACTGATGGTTGCCAGAGGAAAGGGGCTGTGGGGTGTGCACAAAATGGGTGAAGGGGAATGGGAGATACGAAAGAATGACCAGGTCATGAGGATGAAAGGCACAGCACAGGAAATACAGTCAACGTACGGAGAGAGATGTTGGTGAGCACAGCATAACATACAGACTCGTTCCATCACTATGGAGTACACCCAAAAGTAATATAACATTGTACGCCAACAATGTATGCACTTCAACTCAAAAAAGAAAGAATAAGCAACGGAGAGCAAACAAAATTTTTAAATAAAAAATAAAATACACTTGATAAAGGCCATTTGGCCATCCATCCATGCATCCATCCAACGGAAGGTTATTTTGTTCATACTATGTACAATGCCCTGTATTAAGCACTAAGATAAAGCTATGAACAAGGGTGCCTGGCAATAGCAACTTGGCCCATGCCGTCTACCTCAATGGGGAAGAGTGCCCCCCCTGCCTGCCCCAGCACCTACTGGGCCACCTTCTGCCACCTGCAGCCTGGTACCCTCTATCAGGCCCGAGTAGAGGCTCAGCTCCCATCTCGAGAGTCCTGGGAACCAGGCTGGGAGAGGCTGGATCAGCGGGCCGCCACCCTGCAGTTCACCACACTCCCGGCAGGTACACAGGCTTGGCCTTGGGCTGCCCCTAACACCCAGAAGGCCGGGCTGAGGGGGTTCCCGGGAAACTGCAAAGTAGGCTGCTCTCTCGAGGTGAGCGTGGTCCCCAGGCACACAGAATATCTCATGTGGGGGTAAAACATACACTGAACAAACAACATGCACTGTGACCTCCATTCTTGAGAAAAAGCGTAGGATGCGATGACCCAGGCTCAAGTGTCTTGGAAGTGCTATGTCCTATGGAAGTTGGGGTTTCTGCTGAGATACGAAGGGGAAGAACAAGAGAATGAGGTGGAGGAGAAGGTTCTATGGAGAGTGGTCTTTCCTGACAAGGAACATGGCAAAGCAAGTACACTGGGAATGGGAGATGGAAATCAGGAGCTCAGTTTAGGATCTGTTGAGTTTAAAGAGCATACAAGATCCTACAGGTGGGCTAAGGAGAAGCAGGAAGAGCATATGTGTGTGCATGCAAAACACAAGCACGTACTAGAAGATCTGGATGTATCTGGCCAACCACAAAGATGGCCAGGCAAAACAGAGCATGTGGTACATTCCAGCAGAGTGCTCTGGACTCTGTGGGTCCCTAATGGAATGAGTGATTCTATCATCTAAACCAAGACACTTCTGAGAATAAAGTCAGCAGTGTTAAAAAGGATGATGGGGCAACAGGCATACAGGTTGTCCCTCGGTCACCTTATGAAGGGGCGTGGGTAGTTGTGGATGACTCTGTCATGCCAAGTAAGATCCTACCAGATCTGCAAAGCTCAATTTTGTACCATAGCACCGACTTATTTTACCTGGGCTGGTATCTACACTCATGAAAAACTTATACAACCATTTACGCCCTTAACTGGAACTATACAGAACCATCCAGTAGCCTCCTGCTTTGGAGCCAAACTCACAGTCACAGAGGCCACACAGGCCACACCCTTACCTGAACAACCCTGAGCATCTTCCCTGTCTCCAGCCTAGTGGTATCCTGTTAGACTCCCCTCCCCAGAGGACAGCAAGCACAAGTGGCAGCCAGGCAGTGGGGGGTGTAGGTCTAGAGTTCACACAAGATGGCTGATGGCAAATGAAGGTACAGGAAGAGTGGAGGCCATCCAGAGTGTGATGGTTAAGGTTGTACATCAACTTCCCTGGGCTATGAGATGCCCAAATCGCTGCTAGAACATTATCTCTGGGAGTGTCTATGAGGGTATTTCTAGAATAGATTAACATTTGAATTGGCAAACTGAGTAATGCAGACAGCCCTCCCCAACATGGCAGGCATCATCCACTCCCTTGTGAGCCCAAACAGAACAAAAAGGGAAAGGTAGAGTGAATTCATTCTCTCTACTTGAGCTAAGGGCATCTGTCTCTCAAACATCAGTGTTCCTGGTTCTTGGGATTTCGACCTCCCGTCAGAGTGTACACCATCAGCCCCAGACTCGGACCAAATTACACCACTGGTTTTCCTGGTTCTCCAGCTTGCATACAACAGATCATGGGACTGCTCAGCCTCTATACAGTGTGAGCCAATGCCTGTACTAAATCTCCTCTTAAATATATCTCTCTATATATATCCTATTGATTCTGTTTCTCTGGGGAACCTAATACACATGGAAACAGTACAGAACAAGCCTGAGATCTCCCGTATTTAAACAGTATAGAACAAGCCTGAAATCTCCTGTATTTAGTGGCCAAAGTGAGGAAGGGTGCCAGAAGGTGTTGGGGAAAAAAAAGAAGACAACGTGTGGGTTAGAGGAGCCCTTGCGCAGGAAGGAACCACAGACACGACATCCCCTCTCCGACAACCAGAGGTCTTTACCGCTGAACCTGAGATCACACATGCAAAGAGGTGATCCTCATGTTCCCAGAATTGCAACACTTCCTGGCTTATGTCCCCAGGTAAGCCTTTTCAAGAGTCCAGTCACCCAGGCATACCCCACCCTAAATGTATTCTGAGTGTCCCTCTTCTAGGCGTATCTTCCCTAGAATACATCAGATGTCTCTCTCATATGCCTGCCACAAGCAGCTATCCATCAAGAAAATACATTAGCCCTTTAGCCCCACTGGGTAAGGATAAGCTGCGCATTCAGGATGTCAGGACATTAACTTTATGAGTAACAGTCTGTGCCAGTTTCCCTAGATATATGTGTGTCTGTGTCCTGGAAGAAAAGGGAATGACTTCATTCTTCAGACTTTCTCTCCCATAAAATCCAACTACTATTAAGTTCCCAAGCAAAACCCAGGGATGCCCTAACTTGTAGCTAAATCTTAGACTCTTAAAGCTGAAAGAAATGCTCAAGGTTCCTGAATCTAGGTGAAATGTGATTCCTACCACATACCTTAAGAATTCACCAAGCCTTGGTTTGAACAGCCCTGGGGACAGGGAATTACTACCAGTGAACCTGTCTACTGCCCTCTCAGACAGCTCAATCCCTAAGAAAGTTTGTCCCCACAAGCCATCCAAAGAGTGAGTCATCCTCATCACAGCCTCAAACACAGGGGATCACGTACCTGTGGGCACCGCTGGGTCCAGCATTGGTTTTTCCCACGTGTTAATCTGCTCCCACGTAAACCCATTGGTCCCCAGGGCCACGCTATAACCACAGTTGCCGTAGTGCTCATCAAAGGAACAGCCACCTGCAGACAAAAGAGAGAGGAGTGAATACATCCTTGTGTTTGAGGCTTGGCTCGTTACCCCCGTCTCATCAGCTCTTCATTTACAGCTTCGAATGTTAAACTCTGGAGATTTAAAAAAAAAAAAAAAAAAAAAAAAGGCAAGCAAATTGGATTTTTACATTTGTTTTGGTGCTCTCGGGAAAGGCGCTGGCATCTGCAGCCCGCCCCTCCCCCCCCACACACACACCATTTAAAAAAAGTTAATAAGGCCAGTTACATTGATTTCAATCTTCCTTCCTGAGAAAGTAAACAGCAACGCCTCATTCTAAGCAGGAAAAAGGAATGCCAAGGCATGGCTCTCTGATTGTTTCCTGCCACAGGGAGAGACACTGGGGACAGCAGAGAGAGCGCCAGCCCCAGAGCCCGGTCAGACCAGCCACAGATCTCAGCCGTGCAAATCCGGGCCAGCTGCGGCCTCGCCTGCATCTTGGTCTCCTCACCTGTGATACAGAGGGAAGAGCCACTGGACAGGAACACCATGAGGATGAAATGGGGTAACATACATAGAGTAACTGGCACAGAATAAATTCTCCACATCTATCCCCTTCCCTAGAAAAGCAGTTTGTGAAAACTCACGTTTCATGGCATAAAAATCAAATTTGTGGAAGAATCAGACAATCGTGAACCTGGAAGATAGTGAAGTCAATGCTCATAGTGTTTAAAGTCATCCACCTTTTTATAGGAAGCTGTATCAGTTCAATTCTGACAAGGATTTACTAAGCATACGCTTAGGGGGCTGGAGGTCCCCTCCGAGTGATGCTGACAAAGATGCAGGGTACAGAACCAGGGCTCCAAGGAGGGAATGCTGGTCTGTCCGGAGAAACAGGCGCCATGACATCCTGAAGGGGGACTGATCAAGGCTCTGGAGGATCCAGCATCTCCGTGGACCAAGAACAGGAGGAAGGGCATCCAGGGTGAGCTGGTGGGACACAAAGGCGGCAGCCTCCTGACTCGTCTCCCAGACCCAGTTTCACACCCAACCCACTTTGCCACTGCCCCCCATTTCCTTGATGCTCAGGTCTCATCACAGCACCATCTCCCTCCCTTACACACTCATGCTTCCCCATCACCCGTGCACATGTGGTTCCGATCCACGTACAGAAGCCATCCCTCACTAGCTCCAGCCTGCGTCTACAGCCTCCCCTAACATCACACTGCCTTCTCCACCAGCTGCCAAGGAAAAAAGCCCCTCTCTGCACCCCAGGCCTGGGATGTCCTCTGCTTAGCGGGGTGGAAGTCCTGCTGACAGGTATAATATGGAAGACAGTCACACCACCACTAAAAAAAAACCCTATGATGCCAAAGGCTTTCTCTACTTTCCTTCCTTACTGTGAATGGCCCTTAGCACCCCAATTTGGAGTCTTGGCTGGGCTGAGGAAAGCTGGACCTACTTTGGTAGTACAGGACTTCGGGCTTGAGTAGAGAGTATTCAATAACTTTGTCCTAAAAAGTAACAGGAATTTGCAGTGTCTTATGTAAGTACCTAGATTAAAAAGCTGAGGAGAGGGGGAGAGGAATGCGAGAAACAATAAAAAGCAGAAACCTACAGAAGATGTCAGCCAGTAAGAAATTTCCTCTGATGGAAACTGCCTGATGCCTTGGTAAAAATTAAAATACATGATTTCATTTATTCATTCTTCAACAACTGTTTTTTTTTTTTTTAAAGAAATATTTATTTGAGAGTGCACACGTGCATGAGCACAAACAGGGAGTGGGGAGGACAGAGGAGGAGAGAGAGGGTCTCAAGCAGACTCCACCCCAAGTGTGGCACCCAACGCGGGGCTCAACCTCACAACCCCGAGATCGTGACCTGAGCCAATATCAAGAGTCAGACACTTAGGTATATATACACAATGGAATATCATGCAGCCATCAAAAGGAATGAGATCTTGCCATTTGCAACGACGTGGATGGAACTGGAGGGTGTTATGCTGAGTGAAATAAGTCAATCAGAGAAAGACATGTATCATATGACCTCACTGATATGAGGAATTCTTAATCTCAGGAAACAAACTGAGGGGTGCTGGAGTGGTGGGGGGTGGGAGGGATGGGGTGGCTGGGTGATGGACATTGGGGAGGGTATGTGCTATGGTGAGCGCTGTGAATTGTGCAAGACTGTTGAATCACAGATCTGTACTTCTGAAACAAATAATGCAAGATATGTTAAGAAAAAAGAAAAAGAAGAAGATAGCAGGAGGGGAAGAATGAAGGGGAGTAAGTCGGAGGGGGAGACGAACCATGAGAGATGATGGACTCTGAAAAACAAACTGAGGGTTCTAGAGGGGAGGGGGTAGGGGGATGGGTTAGCCTGGTGAGGGGTATTAAAGAGGGCACATTCTACGTGGAGCACTGGGTGTTATGCACAAACAATGAATCGTGGAACACTACATCAAGAACTAATGATGTAATGTATCGTGATTAACAAAACAATAAAAAAATCTGCTCTGAAAAAAAAAAAAGTCAGACACTTAATCAACTGAGCCACCCAGGCACCCCAATTCAACAACTGTTTAACTGAGCAGTTAGTGCAGATTCCAGAGAGTCCGAGGCCCTAGCTATACAGTGGTTCACAGAAGCAGCCTGCTAGTGCTCTTCAGCAACACAGACTGATGGTAAACAAGTCAATGAATAAACCTGCACACATTTCAGCACCGTGCCACAGAGGCCACGGTTGGAGTGCGGGAGAGGAGCCTACTAGCTTGGGGCCGCGGAAAGAGTGCCCTAGTCTGTGCCCTCCTGTCCCTCCACTACACCCAGCTCCTCGGGGAGAGCTGGCCACACAGGGCAGCCGTGTGCTGCTGGTAATTCAGGGAACTGAGGGAAGAAGGGCGATGACCATTGTGCACGGACAAACGTCAACGGGCAAGGACGGGAGGCCCAGGAGATGAGAGGAAAGGGTTGGAGAGGACACTTCACCCCGGGTACAGTGGAGAAGGATGGGCTTTGAAAGGCAAGGTGGGAGGCACTCAATCAACGTCCACCAGACAGTCAGCATCAGAATGGCTGGGAACAGCTCTGACACATAGTAGGGCTTAAATATCTGTTGAATGAATGAACCAATAATGTTAACGGGACGCCTGACAGACGGAGCTCTGTTTCAGTAACAGCGACAGTGAGCACAGAGCCCCCGGCACTCAGCCTGCCCTTCTGGGTCTCAGCCTCGCCCCTTCCACCTAGGAAGCTCATTCCCCACACTGCCTGACAAATCCCAAGTGATCCTCCCAAATCACTTCTACAAACTTCCCAACCAGAGTAGAGTGTGAATGCCCCAGACACACGACGTTTACAATTTAAAAGCAATTACGGCAGCAGGTGTGCTGTTGTTCAGAGAGCTAACCACCTTCCTCTACATCTCCCTGCCATCACCTGCCAGGGGCCCCCAGACAAATAAATCGGGTCCATGCCATGGACAACAGATCCTGACGTGCTGGAATTGATAAGCGAGGGGTGCCTGCAGCATCTCCAGACCTTAGCATCCTAAACGGAGATCAGCCTCCAGGCTGAGAGAAGAAAAGAGTGGCCAAGACTATGCTACATGTATGGCAAACTGTTTGGATCTTCTCTCTTGTGCATACAAAAGAGGGGGCACCTGGGTGACTCAGTTGGTTGGGCATATGCCATCCGCTTGGGTCATGATCCTGGGGGCCTGGGATGGAGCCCCATGTCGGGCTCCTTGCTCAGCTTGGAGTCTGCTTCTCCCACTCCCCCTGCCCCTCCCCCTACTCGTGCAAACGCTTTCTCAAATAAATGAAATCTTAAAAAAAATTCTCTCTCCCCCTTTCCCTTTGCCCCTCCCAAAAGAAAGAAAGAAAGAAAGCAAGCAAGCAAGCAAGCAAGCAAGCAAGCAAGCAAGCACTATGTCTCCAAGCCACTTCCATCTGGGTAGTAAGACCGGGTAGTAAACCCTAGAAACATGTAACAAAGTGATATCCATCACTTGCAGGCTGCATGACCAGCCCGTAAAAATGACCTCTTACAAACAATCCACCTCACCTGCCCCTGCTGTGAGGAACTTCAAAACTATAGGGGAAGGCAGTGGCATCAAAGGAAAAAAGATGTCTAGATCCCTAAGACACTCACTGGAAGGAGCCAACCATTAAGCTTCCCAGAGCAAAACAATGTGTCTTATGTTGCTGACACCTTAGGGGTTAAGTATGACCACAGCAGAACCTTCTGCACCCTGACGAATATAAGCAGCACGCTCTCTCGAGCATCTGCTCCATGCCAGGCAATATACTAGACACAGACTGCATATTTCATCTCATTTGCTTTCACTTAATGCTTGCAACCTGGTGAGGTAGGTTATTATCCCTACTATAAGTACAAGGTAATTAATGTATGGAGGGGTTAAGTGGCCTTCTCAACTCACACAGAAGGGAGTGTTAGAGCCAAGATTAATTCTGTGGTGACCTAACCGCACAACCCCATGCTCTAATAGACCAGAGAGAGAATGTATTCCCCCAAACCAAGGACCAAGCCTTTCACTTATAAGGTTATGAGAGAGGATCACACAAAGGGCTTCCAAGGTGGTTGGACCTCCCATTAGAATGCATTCCTTTGCTCATTCTAGAAACATTTAACAAAGTTGTTTGTTTGTTTGTTTGTTTACGTGTTCTGTGCAGGAGCACAGAATTGACAATTAGAATTCTTACACGCATGTAGTTGGCAGAGTGCAGGGAAAGAGAGCCACATCAACATACATCCAAGGTGCAAAGATGCAAAAAACACCTTCACGGGGATGTGTTGAAGCCCAAAGATCCCATTCAAAGGAGGGTGTTTAACTGATCCCTGACCTATCCTCTATCAACTCTAGCACTACCACTCACAATCCCACTGTGGCTTGATGAACACGGAAGCAGGAAATCCAGCATGTTAGGCATGATGGCAAAAAACAACTGAGAACAGAGAAAGAAAAAAGCTGTTTCCTACACGTCTGCCTGCTAAAAGGGAGTTAGGTATTT